GCCATAAGAAAGACTTGTGTTAGACATTAGAAAAGCTCTCAGACACTAAAGCTAATGTTGTACAATACACCTAGAAAGGTTACGGGCATTTACTATTGGAAGTCTTTAAGAAGAGGTTAGAAAAAACATCTTTCTTTGGTGGAATAGTTTAGATATAGCTGATACCACCTGAGGAGGAGGAGAGGGAGTCCAGATTAAGGCTTTTTAGACCTCTCCCAGCTCTATTTTTCTACGCTTTTTCTGTGGACAAGTTGTCCCTACATCTACGTGCTTAATTTTCCCTTTCTGTAGCTCAGCCGTTAATTTGAGGCTTATGGGAAAGAGCACATAGCAGGTCTGAGGCACAACAGATTGTTTATTTGGGATAAAGTCAGAGGTATTTGGGGAGCTGGGGAGCAATTTCTTTATTATGAATGCATACATGTGTGAGCAAGCTTTCTTACCACCAAAACTAATGTAAATAGGTAGAATTGTATCAAAGGACTTAAAAAATCATCATCATTTTAATTTTACAAATGGGGAATGCAGAGCAGAGAGGTGTGTACCACCTGTAATGACACAGCAAGTTATAGAAATGAGCTTAAAAATTGGATTTCCTGGCTCCTCATGTGACCTATCTGATGGACTACACGCTCCTCCTGCTCTGCCTCCCCTCCCCCCAGCAAACCATGCAAGACTACAAGAATTGCAGCATTTCCTCAGAAAAGTCTTGCCTGCAGCTGGGGGAAGTCAGACTACAATAGTGTTGGTAACTTCTGCTGTAACAAGAACACACATCACAAAGATATTCATTACCAAGGGGGGAAAAAAACCCCAAACTAAATCTACCTCAGGACTCGCACCTTGCAGAGCTGATCTTGGGCTGCTAATCCCCATCTCCATTTTTTAACTTGCCTCTTTCTGTCTAACCTTGGACAGATAGAATAAATTCTTCTAAAAAATCGTTATCTGTAAATAAAGAGAAGAGATTATAAAGGACACACTACTGATAAAGAACAGAATTGTTCTTTATACAAGCACAGAAGAGCTCACAGCTGTTCGCAAATGAAGCATTGCCCCAGTCCACTGTGCAAAAGGAGCAGTCTAGCTCAGCATTTGCTGGCCACTTCCCTAAGGCTGCTCTAACTTAGACCTATAGGAAATCAGAATCAGAGCCGAAGATTAGAAGTGAAAATCTCTCATAATAAAGTATTATAAAGTCAGTGCCAGTCCTTCTGCACTATTCCTTACCAGGCTGCATAGGCTTGCTTCCGTTTCCTACATACCAGTGCTGGAACCCAAGGAGGACCCACACTTGAATCACCCACAGGAGGTCCTGCCTCTCACAGCTGGCTATGCTGAGATGCACCAAGCTCCAAATTAATTTTTAATTAATTTGCAAGAACTTTTGTAGGCTCTAAGCCCCATACATAGACCAAACAGAATTTGGATCCACCACTACCAGCAAGACAAAACAAGAATTAAAAGAATTAAAGAATAAGAATAACAAAATAAGAATACATCAGGAATGCAAAAGTTGGAAACATCTCTCAGAAGAATTAATTGCAATGTTTTAATTGGTCATTTTCTAAAAAAAAAAAAACCCAAACAAAAACCAAAACCAAACAAACAAAAAACCAAACCAACAAACAAAAAAACCCCACAAAACAAAACCAAGAAAGGCTTTTGCGTCACTGGACTAAATCTAATCAAATTCTTTGCATGCTTAGGTCTTCCCTAGCATATTTGAACGGCATATTTAACTTTTGATTTACAAATCAAGGGATATTGCTCACTGCCATAAGATGCATTCCACTGGGGCTCAAAGTCTTTAGCAGATCCACGCTGTGCATACTTTCTCCTGATGGTTTTTCACATTCATGTTCATCAACACTCAGCAAGAATCATAAACAAAGCCCTTCTCTCGGGTGCACACATGCAGTTCCCATTGACTTCGCTGGATTTTCAGCTGACTTCAATAAGAACTCAGTGTGCATGCAGAAGGGCAAAACTTGGCTCTGCACATTTAATAAAATTACATCACTAGATACGTTATACGTGAAGGGCAATGCAGGCCATACTGAAAAATAATATAAACTGAAAACCCGAAAGTGTAGCCAAATAAGTTCAGATTTCAGCCAGTTTTTCCCAGAATAATAAAAAGGGCACATATTTTAGGCAAGATGAAACAAAACCCCTGTAGTATCTCATTTACAGAGTGCACTCTACCTCCTTTATCAGGAGAAAGTGTGAAACCTAGCTATCTACATAAGGCAATGATCGTCTCAGATATAGCGATGATATTGGCATATGAAACGATTAAGTAAAGGTCAAGTTACAAGCTGTGATTTGCTAAGTCATTTTCTGCATCTATATCCCTGCTCTGTAAGTTATGAAGCTCATTGCAAGGGAATTTAAAGCACAGCAGAACACCACAGGAGAAAAAGTAATCAATCATACGAGATTAATAACTAATACTACATTATTTTGAATCTATTCTAACAGTGGTATTTGAAAGATATCAAAGGCTTGAATCCAGGAGAATCTATCTTAAATCCTTCAACCCACTTTCCCGCCTGGCCAAAAGAACACCACAACAAAAATCTCACACAAACTAGGAACAACAATCCCCTTCCAAATTTCAGATGACATCTAGCAACACATGACTTCTGCCAGGTACATTAGCTAACGCACGCTAAGCAAAGCAATGCCACATGTGTTTTCTCCAGATTTCTTCCCTTTATTTTACTTTTACTCATTCCATGATGTAATAAGCTGTGCCTTTTTACTGCCTCTTTAAAAATATCTACCTATTAGGATGAAGAATATTCTGACTTCTAAAAACCCCACTACCAACAGGCTTCCTTGCACTTTCTGTTTGGCTGACAAGCACTCATTAGCCTGCAATTACAAATTTATACACAGAAGTACTCGGGGATGGAAATCACAGAGGGGGCTTGATGTTCATGTTTGTTTTTTCCCCTCTAAGAAGGAACATCTCTGATGATTTTCACATTTAAATAGCAGAACAGATTTTATGAATCATTTTTTCTTCCTGGTTGGAACAACCCCTATTCCCTGTTGCATTATAATACTGAGTCACTTTGCATAAAGTTGGTCATTACTGCCAAGTCAAGTAAGAGGGGAAGGAAGCGGACTAAACGCTCTGAACTTATATGTGTGATAGGATATGTATCAGGCTGCTTCTTGAAGCAGATTATTTAAAATCAGGAAAAAAAAATCATGACAAGACAACTCACACAAGGGAAAACTATTTCATAGATATTGAAAAAGTCCAGCAAATCTAATGTAACACTGATGATCAAAGGGATTGAGAAGACTTTTTTTTTTTAAAAAAAATAAAGTGGGGGTCTGGCCTGTTACAAATGCTGAGTCGTACTGGTCATTCACGCTACATTACCCAGTAGGTTAAATAACGAGTGTGGTGGAATCTGTTTCTCCCAAACTATAGCACTGTCAAATGAATAGTTACAAGGTTTGGTGGGGCTCTGCTGCCTCAACATCCCCTCCTCTCCTAACATCGTGCCCTAGATCCAGCAGCCTGTGATCCTCTGAGGAGCCTCAGAACTCCTTCATGTAATTCAGTGACTCCAGGTCTACTTTCTGTTGGCTCTGGTGGAGCACGAGCCTTGTGAATTTGCAGTGTGTTACAAGGAACATCTATTTCAGATTAGCCTTTGCAATTCTGGTTTCACAACAGGGAAAGGAAGGGTTCCCCTCCTCTCCTCTCAGTCCTACAGGGACAAGGCTGGTGTAAGGAGGGAGCTTCAACAACTTTCATTTATTAGTTTGTTTTAAATGCATAACATGACTATTCGGTGAGTGAACCAAAATTAGTTCACTTACATGATCATTTTTCAAGAAAGTTGATTTTAAAGAGTTAAAAAAAAAAAAAAACAACAAAAAAACCAGCCAAAAACTCTGCTTTTCTCCATGTCCTGTTTAAGCAATGACACATGAAGAACTTTATGTTCAAACAATTACCTGGTACTTTAAATAGGACACTAAGGGAATCACATTTTAAATGTATTCACACAGCGTAAAACTAATCCTCCTCCTGGGAATACCAGTGCAAATCAGAGTAACTCCTCGGAGGTCAATTGAAGTACACCAGCATAAAACAAATGTAAGGCAGAGGAGAATCAGGCCCCATCCACCTCTATATTAATGCAGAGGTTGCAGATCATCTGCAATGATAAAGTGAGCAACATAAATATAACTGACATGTATTCAATTGATCTCACATCCTGTCGACTATTCACAGCTCCAAATATAGGGCTGAAGAACAATGGTTCGAGGAAGGGAGGCAGAAATGCCGGTTCTACCCCATTCACACATTCCTATCTGCTAATACCTCTGACTGGGACTGCCCTCATCTCCCCACAGTGCTAAATTGTTGTAGGTTTAATCTGACATTATCCCCTTGCTCCTGAAGAACAACTTCTCCTTACCACAAAATAAAACAAAAAATACCAGGATGCACAGGAGAGAAGATAAATGCAAAAATCTGTGCAAGCGTGAGAACCTAGAGACAACCAAGCAAGAAAATCCCTCTCTAACATACCATATATATAAAAGGCACTAGCAAATGGATTCATTATTTAGAAATCTGGCACTGAGGAAGAATGGTATGTGCACAGGGGAGGAAGACTAAAATATGAGGCTATCGCAAAGTATGGTGTCATTTGTGCTAATTTAAGTGGATCCGTAATTATTTCCTACAACTTCATGATGTCCTGAACCAGCTTTCTCCTCCCCTGGCAGGCTGATAAAAGGATCCTTAGCAACACACTAAATATATTATGCAATGTATTGAATACTACTGAGAAAAAGCACTGAATTCACTGAAACAAAGAACATCAGGTGCAAACATCACCACCTCCAGGGAAAGATCAGCTTTAACTATTTATCACCTTAGTAAGCACAGGCATTCTCTTTTATCTCTGTTACCGGCTCCTAACGGTATTTGCTACATTTAACAAAGTTAAGGTGAATTTTACCTCAAATCTACTTAGGCTCGAGCTCTTTGACCGAGACTTCTTGCGGAGATAGACCGAGAAGAACCGACGCACTGTGAACTTCTTCATGTTCATGTCCATCGCCCCGTCCCAGCTGCGGCGCGGAGCACGAAGGAGCTGCGGCGCCGCCGGAGAAAGCTAGCGCATCCCGATTGCCCCCTATTTATATCCACAGGCAGGAGGAGATCCTCCGAAGTCTCTGCTCCTGTTCATCGAGCCGGGCGTAGCTATATGTGCGAGGGGTCCGTTGCCGGAGCCATGGGAGCCTGCTGCTTGCAGTCCGGAGCATAAAGGCGTTCTACTCCCTCTCGCTTTCCCGTGTTTACCTTTCGGTGCGGAGAGCCGAACTCTCTCCCTCGGCTCCCTCTCCCCCTCGCCTTAGGTCCTACTACATCCAATCAGGCTCTGCTCTGGCTGCATGCATAATCAGCGCCGGCAGATGACAGCTCCTGCGTCCCAGGCGGAGCAGGTCTGAGATAAATATTAGATGTGTCTATTGCTTTGCACTCCCCTCTCCTCTCAGTCAGGCTCTTTCAATTTCCTGGTTTCCGAATCACATGGGGAATAGGCACATGCTGCACTTCTGTTTTTAGCTCGGAATTTCAACGCTGCTATAATTACTGAGGGCTACGGTGGTCAGATCCGAGAAGAAATCAGCTCCCGCACGAGAATCTCTCCTGGGAGAAGGCTGAAAGACGCCATGAACCCACTGTCTGAGCAAAAGGGTCTGAACCTCCTTTTATTCTGAGGACTATGCAAAATAACATTGCCCCCTGCCCCCCCCCACCCCCCCAGAATTCAAAAAGCTTGAAATCCTGTTCATAGATTATCCGCCTGCTTTACATTAAAATACCTAACACTCGCACAGTTCTGAAAATAGAAAGCACAATCTAAATGGTAAGTATTACTATTCTTACTGTACTACAGCAGGGAGCTATAGCCCTTCTAAGAGGTTAAATATGTACATCTATTTACAGGCTATAATTTTGAGCCGCTCGCTATACTGGAAGCCTGCAGACTTACAGCTGCACCCCCACGCCCCCAACATAATCACATTTTTCAGCTTTTCTTCAAAAACTAATGAATTTCAGTGTGATCCAGGGACTGAAGAGCTTTCTCCGCCTGCTGCACGCAGCTTGGGCTCCTTGTCCTTGGCAGCCTTTCCATTCTGACTACTAAGGAGCACCCAGACATACCTTTCTCCCGTAACCTCATATGGAAAGTGAATGGCTCTGATGACTTATTAATGACTCAGATAAATAAGCCCAGGGAGAGCTGACACCACTACAGGCTGAGAAGACTCTTGGAGGTTAAACGGCAATACCACTCCAGTCAATCTGCTCTAAAAGAGAGACATGCATTTTGCTTTAATTGCATGTCTGGACTCTGTTGAGAACTATGTTGGCTGGTCATGCCTGTCACTACCTGCTTTGTTCATAGGTTCTCTGTCCCTCTCTTCTGTCTAAAGCTCACCAGAATCTATATGTACCTGGAAAAGCATATAAATAGGAAAAAGTAAAAAAGAAAAAGAACATTTTGGCATCTATGGTTTCATTAAAAAGGAGGTCAGATTGGAAGGACTACCATTAGTGCTGGGCTCCATAATCTCCCACAGCCTCTGACTCTTCTGTGCCTGCACCACTGCCGTCTCCCCCCATCCCAAGATAACTGTAGCGCAGTGGCAGTCTGCTTTATCCCTTTCTCTTCTCAGTGCCTCCTTCTGATCGCTTCCCTGGTTCTCTTGTTTTGCAACAACGTATGTCTTCTGGGGTTGCTTTCAAGGTGCTGCCCTGGTGTAAGCCACGTCAAGCCTTGGAGCCCTTTGCCACTACAGTTGTGTTGGTTCCTGGGTAAAGATCCTGGAGCGAAGGCAACTGACCCAGGAAAGGTATCTATATAAGGTACACCAAAAACCCTTTCCACAAGCAAAACAACAAAGAGGTTAAATTTGGCTGGTACCATCAACGTGAAAATTATTTGCTGATGCAGCCTATCTAGTCAAGTCAACCTTGCAGCAGTAAAATCCAAAGCGGCACAAAGGCCCCAGGCGCTCACCTGCCTACCTGACCCTCCTCCCACCCACACCACCGGGCTGCTGCTGCTGCTGCCGCCTCCTCCGCTTGGCAGAGAGGAGCCCCGGCAGCAGCCCGGCCAGCCACCTTCCTGCCGACAAACAGACAAGTTCAGGGTAGCTCCCTGAACCCTTCCCATCACAGATACAACAAAATCCCACCTGGACACTGATGTCTTTATTAATGCAGAGGAAGTGGTAATTTCCCAGCTTTGAATACAGAGCGGGTGTGTATCCTGCTGGGTATAATAATAATAAGTGTATGAGTGCCTATTACTACTGGTACTAGTAGATTTATCACAGCTTCCCCATCCCATTATGCATGTAGTGCTTTCACGTGTAAGGACACACAGTCACCATTAAATGTACCTGCTCTGTAATAAACTTCCAAGAATATTACACAGAATTAATACCTAACTATCAGGTACACTTATTACATTCAGAATTTTATTTTTCACCCTGTGTCCCCCCCCGTCCCCCCTCTTGAAAAAAAAAAATCCCTTAGAATGTATTGGCAATTTATGGTGAACATCAGAGCAAAAGATAGCCCTTGATGCTAAATGTTAGACGGTAACATGAACAGCATTCCCAGACTAGGGGGTAAGTCTCTTGCATCCCTGCCAAGACACAGCCATGGAAACAGGCATGATCTCTTTGCTTTCTCACTCCTCTTTCAACCCGGTGATTAGGGATTAAACACAGAAGGACAACCATCCATCAGTGCCAGGACACTGCTCTTCCCGTCTTGGGCAGCAGAGCAACAGAGATATTACTGAGTGTACCTTCCAACTGTAAAAAGCAAAAGCAACAGAGTTACAAAAATGTACATAAAAAAGAGTACAAATACAGATAGGAAACAAAATACATAAGCATGTAAAACTAAAGCATAGGGATAGGCATCCGAAGAGCAAGTTCTACTACAGTTCCATTGACATGGCATGCTTCAAGACATGGAACTTAACTTTGCTTCAGAAAAACAAATAAGAAGAGGCTTCAAAAGCATTAACGCAAACTTTCAGTTAGTCAGACAATATCCACTTTTCCCAATAACTCTAATAAAAAGGTGTAAGCCAAAACATAAATTAGATTAAATTGGAACATTCGTCGTTATATTTAAAAACATACAACTGTCAGATCAACCTACAATGTGAAAAATTCATTTCACTTAGAAATTCATGGCTGTAAATTATTTATCAGCTCCCCTCTGAGCAATTTTAACTGCTGAGGAAACTCGATGGAAAAAGAAACCCACCAATGTCTCTGTTTAAGACAAGAATAAACAAAACTTGTGGAAGGGGCATATGAAGCACTGACATCAAGCAGTAATACTCTGTATTCTAAAATATACTTTTTAAAACTAGACTCATATTTGCTGTAACACAAAATAAATAAATACAAGACCATGGCTGTTCCTCCTCCTCCTCCCAGTGAACTTAATAGCAAAATAAAAATTTACTTCAACTGGAAAAGGGCTTAAAAAAACAAACAAAAAAAAGCCCCAAACCAGGATTCAATACAAACTCTCCAACAGAAACCACTTGAAATTAGATATTAGACAACCCAGGTTCCAATTTTTAAAAGAGAAATGGAGAATTCCCAGTTAACATGCAAGAAAAGCCAAAGGTCCTTTCCTCAGGTGTTCAGATGGACCATACCAACAGTAGTAACAGACTGAAAGACCCAGACTTAGGACATTCACATGGGGCAGTGATGGAGCCTGCACAGAACATAAGCAAGAAGGATGCCAGTGGCCGATGCCGGATGAATCATCAATTTCTAAAGAAACAAAGTAACTTGAGATAACTGTTTACATGAAAGAACACGCAAGTCCAAGACATCTACCACAAACCACTGGCTGGATGATAAAATTACTGAGAGAAATTTTGTATTACTCTATTACATCAGGCCCTATTTCCAGAGTGGACCTTCTAATTTTTTTTACGTGGATCTACAATTTATAAGCAAATCCAGAATGACTTTGCTACTTGAACAAATTTAGCTATCACTGTAAAAGTGAAAACATATCAGTTGATAGAATCTTCCTTGCAAATGCAATCACTATTGCCTATGCTTCCTCAGTAAGTTCATCAGAAAACCAGAAAAAAAATGCAGAGAAAAGTAAGAAAGCATCAGAGGCACAGACACCATAGACAGAACGAATGAGATTAGCAGAATGTAGCATGCAGAGAAAGGGAAAATGAGACTCCCACAACAGAGGCCCAAGAGACAACGCTACAGAAAAGGTGAATTACACAGTACCATTTATGGTCTCATTAAAGAAAATCAGGAGCAAGAGCAGATGTTTCCAAGAGACATCAATGAGCAGAATAAGGAATGACACTTTCCCCCAGGTGATTAGATGGTACATGACTCTCTCAGTAATTGCTGTTTCCTGATCTTGAATGCTGGACAAATTTCCACATGGCTTTTATTTCCTCAATGAACAAGTGAGGTGGTTATTTTTGTTATTGATGTTTCTTTAAAAAAACATGATGGGCTTTGCCCAAAGAAATGCCTGGGCTTTGATTTCATTAGAGCAGCATACCAATGTGGGTCACAGCCTTTCCAGCTGCCATACCTAGTTAAATACCTTGTCCAGTTTAGCATGACACTTACTTGAGTGGAGTTTTCTCTCTCTTTCTCACTCAAAAAAAAAAAAAAAAAAAAAAGGCACATTTCCCTGCCAGCACTGCGGAGTACAGGCAGCGACTTGCCACCTCAGACATTCTTCTCTCCAGCAGTGATAAGTGATCAGCAGTGTTGGCTGGATGGGGATGTAAGGGAATAGGCAGGGAAGAAAGTGCTTATTCCCCCTTCTCTCACCTCCTGCTCCTCTCTGCGTATCACAAGCTTCAGTAATTTTCAACCTTTTCCATATATGAACTACGACAAGCTCCAATAGAGGTGCAGGCTCCTTCAGCCATTTTGCAAATTAAAAATCACTGTTCAGAAGGAAGAAGAAAGCAAAGTCATACATCTTGTCTAGTGGTGTCTCATGAACTGGCAGGAC